ATAGCTATGAAAAATCGTTTGTAGCGAGGCATTACTAAAAGAAAGTTTCAACCACATTTAGTCAAGTTGAGCTTTTTGCAGTCGCTGAATTTCGCAATTTCGGTTGACATTCTCAAATGGGCGATGTACCAAAATTTGGGACCTACGCGCAGTGCATTCAAAAAGAAACTTTAAATTCGTGTTCTTTTTCAACGTTTGGAGTATACTCAATTTACTTACTTTTTCTGAATTATTTAAAAAAAAATAATTAGAAACTCGTTATTAATTATTATCCGTTTCGAAAACCTTATGTTATTTGTAAAATGAGGCTCACTGCTGCTCGTTTTAAATGCTTAAGTGAAACCCATAGATTACTGAACGGAATTTTAGCCTTTTGAAGAAGTAAAGTTAAGCTGAGGTTCTGGACTTTATAAATCATAATATTTTGCTAGCTGCCAGCACAAAAGTGTATAATCCGTTAGTGGAAAGATATCGAATGGCAAATGCCATTTTAGTGAATGAAACTACAGATTTTAAGCTGACATAACCGTGAATTACGACATGCTAAACTTTTCATGACCCGAACTTCTTCGGGTTTTGATTACAAATCCTGATTCATGGCACCGAAAAGCAGTGACCTATTGCATTACTTATACACTATATCCAAAATAATCATTTTAAAATTACTATTTTTCAGTTTGGTTACAAGTTCTGCGTAACATCCCCAGTTGTGGATTTAACACTTCAAAACGTTACAAAAACAAAGTGTTGAATAAATTGCAATTTTCAGTGTCACTCAAAACATGCAAGAGTAGAACGAAGACGCTCACTCTCTCAGTCGCTTTCCATCCCGCTCTGCTGCACTACTCGCTACCATCCTGACGGCCACCATGGCGGCCTGTATCTTCATTTGAAACCGAAATAATCTGTCGGGGCTCTACAAACATAGCAGTCGCATATTCCTTTTACTCTTTTTGTTTTTCCACTTTTCTACCGGCTTTCTGTCGCCGTTATTTTGCACTCAGCTTTTTAACAAAGTTTTAAATGGATTTTAACTTGTGTTGGAATAATTTTAATTGGATGCGCATTTCGAGTGAAAATTAGTCGCACTTCAACTGCAAAGTAGACACTGCGAAAAAAAAACTATGTCGCTCACCTCACCATTACACCCCCTCAGTTAGGTGCATTTTTCGCCGCTAGATATGTACATATACATCTGACTGTAAACTACGCGCTGTCACATGACTGCATCAGAGCCAGTGGTCGTGACACTTGGCTTCAATTGAAGTATAAATAGAGAATGTGCGCAGCGAAAAGGACACATCCACACACACATATGTATATACGGTATATTGTACATATATTGTATCATCTATGCATTAGCTTTTTGCGGCATTCCACTGCTACAACAATTCGCCTGCACCCACTCCCTCGCGAGTTAGTTTAATCAACAAGAACAGTAACAACCACAGCACTGCATTTCAATAAGTCTCGCCTTGCTTATCTGACACTTGACATACTTTCTTGTTGACTGCATTTTTCGTCTCTCATCTTTCTGTGAAAGTTCGGGCGCAGCGAAGAACAACAAAGCGAGCGGAGTGATTCTCACTTTTAGCCGCACTTACCAAATACATTAAATATTTTATTTGCATACTTGAATGGCAGCAACGGCCCTTTTGAGACGAAATTCGTAAATGCAAAGCTTTTAAGCCGAGCAGATAGTTGTTTATGCAGTTAAGTGAAAACTTTACAAAAACAACAACAACAACGCCACTTAATGAATCAATAGAAACAACTTAAATAATTGTGAACTTAATGCTGCAGTCCAATTGTAGCCGGATCATCAACTAGGTCAAATAAAGTGTAAATTAAATTTCAAAACATTTCCACAAAAGTTGGTATTCGAGTACCAAATTTTGGTCTCCTGATAGCCGTAAGGATACTTGTCATCTACCCTCCTTAACCAAGTGTTATGCAATTTTAGTTCTTGTCAGCGGTCGCTGAATACCATAAATTCATAATATAATATTAAAATATTAAAGTACAATAAAAACAGCATAGATACGTTAGGCGTCTTTCCACCTTGAATGGAAAAAGTTTCAGCATTGTTTATTAATACAAAAATATCCGAAAGATTATTAAGATGAGCCATATTGCTGATAATAACAAGTTTGAATTGGTATCACAACGTAGTTGAAGAAGAGTCACTTTAGGTTCATAGGCAATTCGAACTCTTCTTCTGCTAAAGGTGGTGTTTTGATTCCATGGACGCCATTCCCCCGGAGACAGTTAAAGAAGGTGTTAATAGCTCCACGAACGTTTAGTGTATGTCTGAAGTGCAGTTGCGTCCATAGACTGTTCTGTAAAATGTGCAATATCGTTGATGTAATCAAGCAATTATTTGTTGATGCTCCTAGCGATAGACTACGCTCCAGTGGAGGACTGCAAAGGTGGATTCTGTTAAAACAATCGAGTAGAAGCAGAAAAATTTATGATCTCTGATCGCAATTTATTATGTAAAATATTGTCGGTAGAAGGATAGCTAACTAGAGAAGACATCAACGGTACACAATGCTTCAGGTAATTCAAGGCAACGTATCAGATCGAATTCTGTGAAAAATCAAATAATTGACAAGGAATAACGAAAGGCAAATACCAATAAAAATATAAATTAAAATATTGGTAAAACTTGTGTATGAAATTTATCTGCCATTATAGTCTTACCTTCCGCAATCACGTCTGCAATTTTAAATTTACATATAAAAAACGCATTAATTTATTTGGCACTCATCCAATATGCGCTTTACCAATTAATGCTCTCAGGAAGAACCAATCACAGACACAAAGTTGTCTGCCTGCTGGCAAAATTAACAAACTCTTTGTGTCAGCGCCAGTGATTGGGTAACTGTATATAAGCACGTTGCGTCCAACATCCATCCTTCCATTCCCACTGTGGCTAAAGAATTAAGGCGTTCGTGAGAATAAGGGCAATTATGTAAAAATGAACATTGCGGGTAATTTGTTGAGAGGCGAGCAGAATAAATAAGTTTTGTGGCGTTTATTTTTATTCATGAAAATTTGTTTAATTGCTAAAGGAAAAGTAAATAATTTAAATAAACGGAAAAAACGTTAACTTCGGTTGCACCGAAGCTATAATACCATTCACAAGTACAAAGGTTTCTTACAAGAACATGAGTCCGAGCTAATTTTGTGAAAATACCTCATCAAATGAAAAACTTTTCCATGCAAGCACTTTATTCCGATCGTTCAGTTAATATTGCAGCTATATGCCATAGTGGTTCGATATCGGCCGTTCCGACAAATGAGCAGCTTCTTAGTGATGAAAGGACGGGTGTAAAATTTCAGATCGATGGCTTAAATACTAGTTCGTATATACGTATACAGACAGACAGACGGACAGGCAGTTTTCATTCAACAGTTTAATTCTCGAAAAATGTTATTGGTAGATCACGTCAGCGTCTCTTAACCACACGGCATTATCGCAGCGTCAATTTATTGTAGTTTCATATTCATTGTTGTTGCCGACTAATTGCGTTAAATGTAATTGACAGCGACTTCATGGGGCAGAAACGATAAGAACAGCAATCACAATTTCATGCCAAATTTTTACCACCGCTATAATAGCTTGCTGCTTTCCGTCATACGTTTACATTTCTGAAGTAATATTTATTCCTCTGTTACATAGCACATGTGTACATACGTTGACGTTTTCGTTTTCCTTAACTCAGACCTTGGCAGCTGCGTCCGCTTGCCGTGTTGCAATCATAATTTTCAACTGCCACTGCCGCAGCTTAATTTGACACACCTCGCATGCCAATCGCCTGCATCAGCTGTCGTTAAATATCTTAACCGTACATTGTCATTCCGTTATGTTTGCTGACAACAGTGAACGCAATCTGTAAACACTGTAGGAAAATATATTATATATTTACAATCTTAAAATGTAGTTACTAAAGCGTCGTTATGTATTTAGTCTTCTTCAATCTGCAGAGGTATTCACAGGCATTCATTAACCGGCTGAGAATTTTAAACCAATTTGAGAAAGAAACAAAATGTGTATATTTTTTCTGTAAATTTCCTCATTTTCAGTGTAACAGCAACCTACAAGTATTTGTATTGGTATGGCTATGTCGAATTTTATTTGTGCACCGATATCCTTGCCCTGCTGGTTTTCTTTACGTTGCGAGCATTAACTCGTATTCTCATTATTTCATTAATTTTTTTACTTGTTTCTTATGATCGTCGTTTTAATGACCATGATACAGCTATAACAACGGATGTATAACTGCAAATTTATGCCTGCATGTTTACTCAAGGAAACTCAGCTATGTAATGTTGTAGCGACTGGTAAACGGAACTGATATATAATACTCGAAATGCTATGCATTGAGTTATCATTATATATCGTTTTGTAATTTTGCATACGTCCATTTCTCTCCAAAAATCTGTTTATTTGTCGGAACCGTTGTTATCGGACCACTGTAACCGAAGTAAAATAAGATGTTTCCAACTTTGTAATACGTCCTCTATAGATTTAGAGCTTTGCGCCTTAATATCGAATACTTAAAAGATTCAGGAACTATCTTCAGACTTTGGTGTACATCGAGTCTGCTTTTAACTCCACCACTGATTCTTAGGTCTTGATATATCTTCCGCGAACCAAGGTAATTATTATTAAGTAAATCACTTTCAAACACATCCTCACAATTGGAACAAACCCTTTCAATGGCTACTCAATTTGTATCCGTTACTGTTGTTCCCCATTCGCAACATCAGAAAACAAACCGAAAGCCTTTGAAAAACAGTTGTACCTTTTGGAGCTACTTGTAAACTGCAATTAAAAGAAAAGATCATCAACTAGTAACCTTAAAACTGAAAATGTGAATTTGCACAAAAGCTTCTCCTTCTGCAGCTTTTATTTCCATTGCTTTGATTTTTTCTCATTCTGCTTATGTACAAATATATCTCATTCTGGTTTTATTTCTCTTTCATTACTACAGCTCAAGTGATCAGCTGAATACGGACATGCACGAAGAAGATTTCACCGCAAATAAGCAGGCGGAAAAGGAAGACGAGGTAGACGTATACGCGCCAGCACAACCATTCTGTCAGCAATCGATGGCCCTGCAACGCCTGCAATTCGCGCATTCAGCATCGGTGGCGTCCGTGGCATCAATGTCACCGGCAACAACACCGCCACTTTCATCGCTGTCGCCAACTCAAGCTGCCGCCACATCAACAAATGTATTGAATAAGAAACAGAAACAACAGCAACAACAACAGTATCACCAGTCACCAATAAAAAGCTCAAGCACGTCGACAGCCCAGCCAATAATTTCAGAGCCCACAGTAGTGGCTTACCAGCAACAACAACAACTGCTGCCATACAGACAGCACGCACACCGAATCACACACCAGCAACGACAACCACAACAATCGCAAGCAGAGCAAATGATTTCCGCAACCGGTGTCAGCGCCTCAGCGGCCGCAGCTTATAAACGGCAACAACAAAAACTGCGAAAACTACGCGAACTGCACTCACTCGCCTTGGAGGGTGGCGACACGGCGCGCGGTTATTGCTCCTGCGACGAGCAATGGACCTCATCATCGCCGACCACTTCCGGCTCGCCAACACTCTCGTGCACCGAAGGACACGAAAAGACATCCGACGGAAGTGAAGGCAACGAAACAGCAACAGTAGCAACAAAGACCGAACGGGTGACAGGAAACGCGTACAAACAAATGAACGTGACAACAGGGCATGGCCGATTGGCAGTCGGCGGTAATGACGCTGGTCACAGCCGGACATGGCAACCACCCAATCGCAACAGCAACAATACTAAGAACAACAGCATCGATGGTGGTGGCAACATTTGGTCGGGGACTCGAGCAAATGAGGTCGCCAAGGCAGCAGCGGCCGTGGTGGCGGCAAAGGCAGCTGCCTCAGTAACGTCGACAAAGACGACGTCCATGTCGGCTGGTGCGTTACGCCCTGTACCGGCATTACGCCTCAAGCAACAGCACCATGTGCGCTTCTCGGACGAAAAGAATTTTTCCGATTAGTTTGTTACAGCGTCGAGAAAACGGACACAAGTAGAAAGTAAAAAACAAAATTGAGGGCAAAACTGATGAAGACAAATAAAAATGACTGAGCAAACTAATTGGCGTAGAAGGGCGAATGGCGGCAATGACTCGGTTTCATACAAAGGCAAAGCAAATTCTTTGTGCCGCAGGTAGCTCAAAAAGTATTTGATATTTTAAGGCAGAAATATTTCATTTTAGGATTACGTACAAAAAGGTTGCGCCGACGTTCCATTTTTTTTACACGGTCCACGCCGTTCCAGTATCTTTACAGCCCACTTGGACCTAAGAATATGCTGATTGTATAGTATATTGCCTATAGTGTGAATACGCATGTCCAAATATACATTCCATACACTTGAGTAAAGACCGAAGATTAACTTAAAGTCTAGACAGGCGCGACGAGAAAACGTCACAAAGCAAGATATAACAATGCATTGTTAAAACAGATAGAAGATCTTTTTTAAGTGAGTGATGGGAGGACGCCAAACCACACATTTTTTTACAAGAGAGCAAAAATGTTAATTAACCGGACTTCCAAAACTTATCTCTCGACTTTGACTCGGAAGTTATAAACGGAACTGCAATGGATATTCAGACCAGGAATTCAACCCAGTTATAATTGTGAGAATGTAGTAACGTTCTTTCTGATTTTATTTACAAAAATTGGACTAAGATCTAAGATCTCTCCATACTATGAGTCCCTTTAAGACTAAAAAAACTCGTACCCTTCTTCCAGATTAGAGTTCAAAGAACTATTAGCAGCCCAAGTTTTCAGTATCGGGTAGTATAAAGGTAAAAAATATCAAAACACAAAATGCCTTTAACGTTGAGGTAAAATATCAAAATTTTCAGATCGATATCTCAAATAAGAGAGACTAGTTCGCATACAAAAAGACAAAGAGGCAGAAGGACATGGCTAAAACGACGAGTGCAGGTCTTTTATATAGTTATATAGTTTAAAGGTCTCTGACCCTGGCAATGCTCCGTTCAGGGTATATATATTATTTAACGGAATGGCTATGTGAGACTAGTTTAAATTTTCCCCTTAACACAAACCGACTTTCGAACTGAAATTTAAAGCATTTGCTATTGTCTAGAAACAACAACAAATACACAATGAGAACATTAATGAATATTTTTCAGATTTCTAATACACAAAAAAAAACACAAACAAAGCGCCAAAAAAGAATTGCACAATAAAGCTGTAAAAACAAGCGCTAATTTTTCTATTTGGTTTTTGTTTAGCATTTTTATTTTTATACTAAATACAAACTAACAATAACAACAACATACACAGTTTTTCACAAACGCACCGAAAAAAAACTAAAACAATGACAATACACTAAGAGGAAACTAGAAAGGAAAAAGTGGCAAGGACACACGTTATTTCCAATTAAAATTATTCGACAAATATAAATGAAAAACCAAAACAAAGCACGAAAGCGAAAGCGAAAGCATAAAAAATGAGGAAACAAGAAATTTTACACTAAAAATACAAAACTGATTCTCAAACAACAACAAGCAAATAAAAGTTTGTATTGCCAAAAGTTTAAAAAAAACCAACGTAGAGAAGTAATCATCGGCAGGTGAACGCCAAAATGTGCATAACTGTAAAAACTTGCTGGCGTGAAAAACTAAACCAGAAATTTTCAAGTATTCACGGCCAAATGCTTATATGTACGATGCAAGCATATGTAGCTATACAAAAGTTTTCTTGCACGCGTGTGTTGTTGTATTTTGCTTAATCGATGCAATAATGTGTTGTTAGTACCCATTGATCCCCCTGTTCATTTGAAATCCAGCCGTTTTGTTGCCAAAAAACTATTTCACTTCAAACTATTTCACTCACCTTCATTTACTCACGTTTCGGGTAAAAGTTCTGCTTCCGCTCTATTTTGTTTGATTTCTCTTCTGTTTCGTTAGCAATTTGCTGTGTGGCCACCTGCATGAACAAAAAATAAATAATTTAAGCGTGAATTGTATGCTACCACTACTTTTTTGCTCCACCATTTTAGAAACCGCTACCCCAGTTTGGTATTTTGCCCATTCACCAGTGCCTCTTAAACTGTCCACCGCATTAGGGCAGCTGCATTTGTTATTGATATTGTTTTTTTTCAGTTGTTGCTAATGCAAAAGTTCTAACGTGTTTTAATAGTGGTGCGCACTGATTTTGAAAAGGTTAATGAAAACAAAGGAAACACCAATTTTGGGGTTTCAACGTAAGCGTGTATCGCCCACTGATTGCTTTCATCAGGCTTTCAAACTTTCGCTAACAATTTAAAACTGCAATGAAGTCAATTAGCAAACTGTTTGGCGCAATTGAGTAGGAATTTCCAAAATTTTGATTCATTCGGTACACGGTTTACCGCTAGATTGACCTGTCGAAACACAGTATTTAAATTAAACGTGAAAACTCAGTTTTCAATTTTCCTTCACACTTTTGATACAACGGCATATGCTTTACTACCTATCTAGCGAGCAAGAGTAGAGAACTAAGCATGCTGGCGAAATTGGTACACCCAGTGCGGCTATGGCACCTGTTATGATTAGATGAAATAACGCGTTTCTTCAAATAGTCAGCAACATTATGGATTTCACTAGAACTAACACAAAGCACGGTAGGAAGAATAAGCGGTTTATAGAAGGAATTTAATCTAAGAATACTAAAACCAAGCGCCGCTGCAAAGTAAACAGTCGACATATATTTCTTCCTTGTACCATAAAGTACATTTAATTGGATATCAGCAGCAACTGTTGGAGCGTTTCATGGAGAGTTTAGGTATAATATCTCGCTCTACAATTCTGATTACTGTAGGTTTTATTTTTCGCAAATGCCGATTAGGTAACACCTGAAAGCCTGGATTAATTATTAGACCTTATTAGATATTTTTGCGAAAATTTGTGCTAGAAACATGTCTGCCAATGACAAGCAGCGAAGACACCATTCACTCACCTCTGCGCCTGTCTTTTTTCGTTTTATATTAAATGTTCGTGGTGTTTAACTAAAGCCGAACTCATATTGTGCTGATACAACAAAACCGTGAAATCGAGGGTGAATTTCGAGAGCTACAAAACAATTTGCTCAAAATATTTACAAACATGAAACGAAGTTTGTAGTAAAATTAAGAAAAAGTATAAAGTAAAAATAATAATTGTAGGTGAATGAAGATGTATGAAAACCAAATTAAGTTTAAGTAAAACTCCTAGACTGCACCGAAAACATAACTGAAATATAAATTTATTACAATACTTAAAAAATAACAACAAAAACCAGCATAGTTTATAAGCAACTTTTAATTGTAGCAGGAATGAAGATATGGTTGCCATATAAGTAATTGTAAAATTAATGTAAATATTAAAAAAAAAATTAGATCAAATTGAACTTTAAGCAAAATCTAATAAATATATATGTACTTGTAACTATAATGTGGTTGGAAGTTTAATTCAAACATATAGGTATGTGTGTGTTTACTATAACGGTATTCCATGTCAAAACACAATAATTTAAGTGTATCAATAATAAATAGCTAAAGGACAGTTTATCTCATTAAGCATATAAGTGTAAAGATTTAAGTGTAGTTCAATTTAATCAAATAGTCTAAAAAAAAAGTAAGTGAAATTTAAATGGAAAAATCTAATAAAAAACGCTCTTAAAAAAATTAAGCAAATATTTCTGAGTGAGAAATTAAACTGACTTGTTACCGTTGCACACAAGATTTATATACATTATTTATATACATAAGGACATCCGTTATTTCCCACTTGATTTTTTATTTTTTTTGTTTGCAGACGCCGCGTGAAATTTCAGGTTTTGTCCTAAAAAACGGATCCAAAGTAAACAAGTTCTTTTTTTTCAATTTAAACCATACCTAAATCGTATTACTTGTTCCGTTTTTGAAATGGATTTTTAAAAATTTTGCATAAAACAAATAAACCTACAACTTTTGAAAATAGGTTTTTTAAATAAAAAATTTAGTGCTCTACAAAAAAGTCATGTTGATTAATTCAATAGAAACATTCATTTAAAAATTATACGCAGTTAAAGTTATGCATCAAATGCACTGTACATATTCCTACAGTACACCATACCGTATGAGCAACATATAATTTATATGGCGCTTGTATGAATACTAAGTACATTTGATGCATAACTTAAACAGTGTATAACTTTTAAAGCAATATTTTTATGGAAAACACCAACCGGACCTGTTTTGTAGAGCAGAAAATTTTGTATTAAAATATAATTTTTTCAAAGTTGTAGACTTGCTAGCTTTATGCGAAACACCAAAAAATCCGATATTATATACATACACGCGAAAAGAAACATGATTTAGACATTAATTGAAAATAAAGAGCTTGTTTCCATTGAATCATGTATTTTAATCAAAAACTGAAGCTTCTATCGGCATTTGTAAACAAGTCAACTTGGAAAAAACGGACACCCTAAAATACATATATAACGATATATTATTTTATATAACCATGCAATTCAATAATTTTCAATAAACTACTTGTTATTTTGTGCATATAATTTGCATGTAAAAACAAGTGAAATATGTTATGACTAATTAAAGAATAAATGTGTTATAGCTTTCTGAAAGTATCTACTTATAATAAAAATTTACATGTACATACATTTATACAAACAGCATACAATGATACTAAAGAAACTGTGAAACTAATTAAATATATCAAAGGCAAAACTGCATAATCTAATTGTATGTAATTTGTTTAGTCATAAAATGCGATAAAAGTGTGCAAAACAAACTCATAAATAAATATATGTATGTACTCGTATGTAGTTAAATATTTAATTGAATCAGAGCGCATAAATTTTGAGAAAGTAGATGAAAAAGCAAAAAATTAAATTAAAATAAAAAAATACTTCTATAAATTTTCATAAATGTATAACGGAAAAGTTACCAATATACCCTACACATACACAAAAAGAAACCTTAAAAAGCATACCAAAAAAAAATTTACTTTTAAGCAGTGACCAATAAACTAAGCTGACTATTAAATAAAATATAAACATTAAAACTTAGCAAATACGTTAGCTAATTATTGTTATAATTAAAATTAATTGAAAAATAGTTGTAAGTTTTTAAATATGTTTTTAATAAAGCAAAATCGAGGAAAATTCAGACTAATTTCGACTTGCGCAAAGCAAATAGTGATTGTAAAATTTCCTATTAAAGCCTAGAACAAATTTAAAAAAATTTACTTAAGCTCTCGTTTTGTTTACTTTAGACGAAAATTTAATCAAGTTTTTGCCGCAGAATAAACAGAAATTCAAAGCAGAATCTGCATATTTTATACTCTAAAACTGTACTTTTCTTTGTGGGCAACATTTTTTTAACGCGAAACTGCAATATAAAAATATTACATTTTTTAGACTATAATTATGTTGTTCTTATTTTTGTTATTTTACTCCTTATTTTCATACAGGCATTGCCACAAAAGTTCATAAAACAATTTGGAAAAATACATAAATGAGCATAATAATTCAGTATAATCGCATAAGTGCATAGCAGTGAGAGAAATATTATGAAAAATACTATAAAATGAAATGAAAAAAAAAACGAGAATTCAACAAGCGAAAGATCAGCGAATTAACACGTGACATAATTGAAAAATAAACAAAACTTGAATTATCAAAAAATATATGTATGCATGTTGTTTTTATTTCTTTTTAAGTGACGGCATTCAGTTATAGAGGACTTTTTCATGAGCTGGGGCACTGAGGCATGGAACGCTCGAGTCATTGAGTTAAAATCGAATATTTTTGGGATGTGAAGCCAAGTCTACAAGTTCGGTTTAATCAGCTTCGTTTTGTGTTTGGCAAAAGTTAAGTCACACTTATATACGCTGGAACGTAATTTATGCGTGCAAAATGAATAATTTATCCGTCCATAAATGAGAAAGTTTACCAAAAATTGTTGTGCCTTTTATAAAAACATATTTCATTACTAATAGTTAGGACTTATTTTTTTGGATGCTATCTTTATGGATTTAGAATGACATTCGAGGGACACACGCTATAAGGAAAAAAACATTTTTCGATGCTGGTCGGAATAGAAATCGTCGGTCCACTGCTTTTTCTTGAACCGCATTTGCGTTGAAATCTTGGTGAATGATTTCGGATGGCGTTCACAACGTCCACAAGAGAGTGAGAGACAACAAAATTTCCAAATTATTTCGCTCCACTTTTTTGTCAACCCAATTTGTTTTTAATTTGCTTTGAATAAAATCACGTAAGGACAGTGTTTCAATCACTGACGCATTTAATGAAAGCACGCTTGCAAAATACAATGCCAAAATCTGTGCAGCCATAAATTATTATTGATGTAAATGTGAATTTCAATTAACGTCAAAAGAGCCACCATGAATATAAAAACCATTAGCTATCGGCAAAAAGTACATAGCAATCACTTTTTATACAGATTACCTATTTTTTTTCTAATTTCAATACCACGAACTCCATCTGCCTTTTGTTGTAGTAGAAAGTGTGTAATTTGAATGTATTGCGCAAACATTTCTGAAACAAAACGAACCACACGCTTTTGCGGCGCATTACGTTCGCCCAAAAAGACTCAGCAGTAACAACAATAAAATAAAAGATAAGCACAGCAGTCCAACGCATTTAACTATTCAACCAAAGTGAATCATTAGAAAAGGTAAATGACAAAATTCAGTGTGAAACCTACGAGACCTATGAATCCAAAAGCCACTATTGTACCAGCAAATTTTGGACCATAAAAAGTATTTACCATAAACAGTCATTGCTTGCAGCGGTGGCAAATAGCTATGTAACAGCAAAAACTGAAAAAAAGAATTGTTAAATGCATGCAGGTGGTAGGCTGGTGTGGTCGACCGCACACGCTCTGCGGTGTCACACCCTCGTGCTCCACTTGCTGTTCACCGCCGCAAAGGCGGCCGCAAGCTGACGTGCGACCACAAGCAGCGATTGACGCAGCCTTCGTAGCCGCCAGTCTCGCTGACTCTGTAGTGCAACCAACCAACACTCATGTCAGCCATTAAAAACCATTTAGAATACCGAGTACAACAACAATAATGACAACAGTTTGATGCAACCCCACAGCCAAACAGTATTTGCCATTGTTTATGGAGTAAAGTTAAAGTAAAGAGAATTCGCGAGTTCGAGTGAGCGGAGTAGGCGGAGTGGAGTGCCTTTGAAGTACATAGGCGTGTGCCTGGGCGTATACGCAACGCCACAGAATTCACGGTAAGTCGCAAACACGTAAACCGCATTAAAGGGCAGCCGAACTCAGTGGAAATTAAAATTCTATATTTAGCTAAACAACACATACACACAAAGAGTAAGTGCAGCTTTATTGCCTAATTATACAAAACAACAAACAACTTACAAAAGTTATACTTACTATGTGTATATGGTTAATCTGCCTAGTAGGAAAACTACAGCCAACGATTAAAGTTCACGAAAATCCAAATTTTTGACACATATAATTATGTAACATTAATATTCTACAAGAGCAACTATGTGTATATAGAGAAAAAATATTTAGTAAGATTTTCTGTGTTGATAAACATTGAGTAAACGCTGCAATAAATTGGTTAGTGACAGGTCATGGATTTTCCTTTCTAATCGTCTACTGGTGGATGGATGGAAAGGAGCATTAACGCAAACTAGCAAGCATTCCCACTCAAATGAAATACCTCACCTTGCTACTAATTGCAGTCTCAAGACCCTATAAAGTATATACAAGTATATAGAAATGATCAGCGTGACGAGCTGTGTCGATTTAGCCATGTCCGTCTGTCTATATATATTAGGGTGGAGCGAAAAAAAAATTGTTTAACATCTAGAGGCGCCCACTCAGTTTTAAAGTAAATTTTGAGTTAAAGTTTTTTTTGGACAAGAAAAGATTATTTTTGGTGTAAACTCTTTGTATTTATATAAAAATTACCGAATGTGACGGGTTTTGACTCAAACTTTATTTTAACGCTTGGCCAGAAAGAGGACTCTTCACAGCTTCTAGAACACTTATCAAAAATTGTTTTGCGAAATAAAAATTTTAACTCGAAAATTTACTTTAATAGTGAGTGGGACACCTCTAGATGATAAAAAATATTTATTTTTTTTTTGTCCACGAATTTTTTTTTTTTATAATATACAGATTTTACCCTCAGGCTAAGCAAAAAAAAAGAATTTTTTTTCGTTCCACCCTAATATAAATGTATGAGAATTAGTACTCAGTTGTTGAAATATCGAGCAGACATTATACACACGCTCTTTTCTCCTCAAGAAGCTGCTCATTTGTCGTAACTGTCGATATGGGACCACTATAACATTTAGCTGCCATGCCAATTGACCAAACAAAATCAAGTCCTATTATGGAAAACATTTTTATTTCACAAGATATCTTCACGAAATTTCGCATAGATTATATTACATTTCAATGATGGTTCGAGAAATTTAGAAAGCGATTATCATAGTTCTTAAATAAATAAAGCAAAGCTTTATTGAAATAACAAAGCACTCTAAAATGTCCAACACACCTCCACCCAGCTGGTGTATGACATATATGTTTGTACAATATATGTATGTAGCTTGGTATGCCTGTGTAAGTTTGTATGTATAGGTGAGGTAGTTATGTGGTTGAAATAGTTTTTTCAGTTACTTTGCCCATACAACATTTCGCTAATGGTAAGCAATAATTAATGATGCAAAAGGAAGCAGAAAAAGAGAATAGAGACAGGCAACAAAGCGAAAAGAAATATAAAAAAGCAACAACTGCAGCTGCAACAAGCAAGTAATGAATACCGAAATGTAATAGTTACGCACGTAACTACAATAATAGTGCTGCAACAACAACAACATCAACAGGCAATGAAAAACAAAGCCACAAGCACAGCTGCGCGTTGGCGTGGTGAGGCGGCGAGGGCCAACCATTCTACGTGTATAGGGGGGTGCAATTATAGCAGTATGTGAATTTGTGCTGGTCCTATAGTTGGCAATGCGATAGTGCTTATTAAGAGTGCAGTTGTTGTGGTTGCACACACACAACCATGTATACACATCTAACTACTTAAGTAGTCTCATATTTTTGTTCGTGTTAAGTAAATGGTTGTTATTGTTCATATTTAGTTGCTTTGTAAATTCCTGCTAACATTCGCCGAGATTTATTTCAGTGTATGGGTGTGCGTGTGTGTGTGTGTATCTGAGAATGTCTGCTTAAGTAGTAAAAGTTACCACTACAGGTGCGGCTGATGCGCCGCCCGTTGACGTGTCGTCAGGCCGCCACGAACATACGATGTCATTGTGTGCATGCGAATAGTTTTTAACTGAGCAAAATTGTGGAAGTAAGAAAATTTAATTGCTAGCACAGCCTGGAACAAATGGGCGTAACAGCAACAAGCACGCTTACGTGTACGATTAACAAAAACGATAACAACAACAGTAATAGTATCTCATCAAAAGGAATGCAACAAACAGCAAAAGCTGCCGAACTCAAACCAACGAAAAGCTTTCGGCAGTGTCACCAACAACAATAATGATTAGTTAACTGCGCAAATGAGACGATAAGGATTAAGCTATGCTCACATTGAATGTTACAGAAGTTGGTTAGTTGAGTGGCGGCGCTGTCGTGTCTAATTTGTTTCTATTAAAAACAATTATCCAAACGTGTTGAACACAACTCACGACTTTAGTGTTGATATTCTTAAACATGTACAATACAAGTAGTTCAAAGTATTGCTCATGTGAAGCTACAACATTTTCCCATCTTTCTGACAATTTGTGGATATTATCTCCAAACAACTGCGCCGGCTTGGCGGATAAGAATGAATCAAGAAAATGTTTGATACCCAGTTCGGATGTGAAACGTACTCACATGCAAAATCGTTTTTCAACGCCTCTTGGCTTCAATTCAGTTACGCCATCTCTAAACAAACCGCACGAATATAGTTAAATCCGAAGAGTTGTAACAGATCTAGAGCGATGCATGTTTTAGAAAAGCTAACAAAACCCGTCTATGTTCTTTAAGACCTCAGTAAGTTTTTACATTAAGATATATTGAACAACTTACACAGCAACTATTTGAGCAACGAAGAACTTTGAAACATATAAACAACAGCAGAATTACGATTTAATAAGCTACGAGCATCGGCTAAGACACCTTTTGACATGAAATGAGCTAAACTAAAACCTCTGGAAAAACACTTCCATAGATTCCATTGACAAATTGAAGTCAACCGACGATGCGCACGATTTCACCCAAATTACTATTAGTGGATTGAAAAAGCTCCCATCGCGATATTTTGGCGACGTTCTTCACCATTACTAATGTAACGTTAGCATTTGTAATTTGTCGAATTCAATTCTGCAATTCGTATTTTAAAAAAGTTTTCTTAAAAGTCAAGTAATTTTTCTTAACGGGAAGCTGATATGTGCAACGTATATCTGCAATGCGGTCAGTAAAAATTTATTCGCAACACACAAACGCAGCGCTGAGTGATAATGTCACATATCCATAAATGGAGTGTCCAAACACACTGACTCTCGGAACGGCAAGGATATTAGGAAAATTATTCAAAAATATGAAAGTATAATTTATAGACTCTGTGCTAAGCAGCTTTGGTTTTGCATAAAAATATTATAATGGAGTGCTTAAACAAGTGTTGC